CCTCGCCCCGGGGTCCCCGCCGACCCGCCCTCCGCTCCGTCCGGCCGCTCGCTGTCCTCGCCCCCGGGAGCCCAGCCGGCCTGGGCCACCCGGGGGTCCACCTCCGCCCTGCCGTGTCTGCCGCTCCTCCTGGGAGTCCTCTGGCCGCGTCACTGGCGTTTCCCTCCGCGCGACTCCACGCCGTGCTCCGATCTCCGGTCCGCGGTGTTCCCCTCAAGGCTTCTCTCCTGGCCTGTTGCTCAGGACGAGGCTCCGTCCCTTGCACCCCGCATCCCGCCCTGCACGCCCCCATCCCTCAGAGCCGTGACAGACACCCGTCGCAGCATCAGGACGGACCCCGTGTGCCCTCCAGGGGCCGTGGACCTCTCCCGTCGGTACAGGTGGCCCCCGCTGGTCGTGGACCACCTCTCCCGTCGGTACAGGTGGCCCCCGCTGGTCGTGGACCACCTCTCCCGTCGGTACAGGTGGCCCCCGCTGGTCGTGGACCGGCAGTCGCGTTTTCCCTGCGTTTGCTCCGTTCTCTGTGCATCCGTCACGCGCCCGCCCAGTCAACCCTGATGGTGCCCAGCTGGGCTCTCCCCGGGCGGGTCACCTGGAGCAGCCCCAATACAGCCTCCTCACCTGATCCCGCCTGGACAGGTGGACGCTTGGCAGCCCCTATTTTCCGACATCTTTTTAAAAACTCGTGGTTTGGTTTCCTGAGAACGGTGCATCTGAAAACATGCCTCTTCCGTCCTCAGCATGAATAAGGGGGCCGATGTTCATTTCTTGGCTGGAAGGCATTGCCTACAGGGCCCCAGGGGCCACCCTGCCCCGTTCCCGAACCCACCCCCGTCCCGTGCTCTGAAACCCCGTGCCGTGGGCCGCCAGTCCCACCTGGCGTCTGGGTGGTCAGTGGGGCCCTTTCTGTCTGGAAACACCTGTTCTTATGCTCTGATCCGTTTTCTTCATTTATTTGAAGACCATTCTTTCCTTCACTCTTTCTGGAAATCCTATTATACTGACCTCTTGAGGCCATCTTCTGATTTTATCTTCCTTTTTCATATCTTTATCTTTTTGCTCTACTTTTTGAGAAATTACCTCAATTTTGTCTTCAAAATCTTCTCTTGAATTCTTCTGAATTTTTTCCAATTACTACATCTTTTGTTTTCAAATTACCCTTTTTGTTATATAGTATCTTATTTTTGTCTCCTCGGCAGCTTACACAGTGAAGACCCCGCCCGCGGGGCGCCTGTGAACTGTCTCTGGGGGTGGTGTTCTGTTTTCACTCCTTGTCCCTGTTTGTCCTGTTTCCTCCCAGTTGCCGTGTTCCAGTTTGTCTGTTGTGATCTCTGTCTTCATTTCTGTGATTTTCCTCACATGTGTCTGGTGAGCCTTAGTGTTTGGCTCGTATTTGAAAGTGGGGGGCCTAAAAGCTGGTTGGGTTTTCTAGGACCTAGAGCTCGGGGGCTCTTGGTCACTGTGGGGGCTCAGAAGGGCTGTTTCCTTGGAGAATGGACGCCCTCTGGGCGTCGCTAGCCTCCCCCCGAGAAGGGGCCAGCCTGACCCCCACCCCGCTCCTAGGAAGAGGCTACCCTGATGTCTGCGGCCCCCGGAAGGGGCCAGTCTGACCCCAGCCTCCCCCCAAAAAGGGGCCAGCCTGACCCCAGCCCCCGGGGGCCGAGGGCGCCCAGCACTCAGGTACAGCCCACCTACCTGCTCTCCGCATGGGGGCCCCGCCTCGGGGGTGCAGGGCCGTCCTTCCTGCCAGCATCACAGGGACGCTGAGGCTGCTGCCCGGTAATGCGGGCCCCAGGGGGGGCTGGGCCCCAGCCTGCTTCTGGGGGAACTGAGCCCCTCTGCCCTGAACACCCGGGGCTGCCCGGCTCTGCCTGCCCACCGCCCGCTCGCGAGCCTGTTTTGGGGGCTCCTCCCCTATCCTTCACGCTTGTCCATCTGCTCGTCATGGCCCAGAACGCGGGTCCTTGCTTCTCTCCCACAGTCCGGCCCTTGTAGGCTGACCCGTGTCTGCAGGTGGGTTGGGAAGCAGGAGAAGAGGGTGCAGCCAGCCTCATGTGCAGAGCCTCTGCTTCTCCCAGGCCGCCCAGGTCCTCTGCCGGGGCCTCCTGGCCCCGCCCCGCTCCAGCAGCGCTTCCTGAAGGGACCCCTGTAGGTTCTGGGGGTCCCTGCTTGCTTCACGCCCCTTGCTCCTCAGAGGGGCTCCTGGGAGGGGAGGTGTGGACGGCCCCTCGTCTCACCGTACGGCGCTCAGTTCTGTTCTCAATGCTGTCTCAGGCTCTCAGCACTCCTTAGGAGTCAGCAGTTGACTTCACCGTTGAAGCCCACGGGATCCCACGCGGTGAGCCCATCTCGGCGAGCGGGCTGTGCTCATGCAGCTGGCGGGATCCTCGCCCCCCGCAGCCGCGCAGAGTCACCCGCCACCTGTTGGCAGGTCCGCCCATGCTTCTCTCGTGTGCTGTTGCAGCCCACGGCTTCCTGGCCTTTGGCCGCAGCTGCTGCTTGCTGCCCACTGCAGATCAGAAAGTGGCTTCTGTGGCTCCGTTCTGCTCTGAGCCCTTCGCTTGCTGACATCGCAGAGGTGGCTGTGGCCGCGGATGCCCCTGCAGGCCAGCCAGCAGCATGGTGCACACAAGGCCCCCATGTGGGCAGCTCACCCTGCAGGCGCCCGAAGTGTCCATTTGGTTCTGCCAGGCGGGCCCTTCCCCAGCTGCTCCCACTTCAGCTGCTGTGACAATTACCGGTGCTGGCCCAGGACTACAGCGCAGCCCAGCCAGCCCGGGACGTTGGGGAAGGTCGACCTGTGCCCACTGTCGGCCTGCCGGTGTTCACGGGACTGGATGCCTGCTGTCGAGCCGCTGGTGTGGACGGAACCAGATGCCCTCCCGGGGCTGAGGGTGAGCATGTGTCCCTGACTCGTCCTCAGGACCCGGCGGACGACTAGTCTGCAGGCCAGACCCCAGCAAGAATTCCTGTTCTCCAAGGATGTTTCTACTGTTCTAAAGGGTAGTTAAAAAAAAAAATTTAAAAAAGATGGTATTGGGAAAGAGAAGAAGGAAGAAGAACATGTAACAGAGCCTGAGGTGATGGCAGTGCCTGAGACAGTCTGTTTCTAGCTCTGTAGAAACAGTCCTCCAGCCCCTGGTCCAGGCATGCGGAGGGCGGTGTCGTGTGTGTCCGTGTTCTGCGTGAGTGTGGCCCGTCGCAGGTTACATGCGGGTGAGCACATGCTTCTGAAACCCCGGCTCCGTGAAGATGCGTCAGGAAGGCATGTGAGCTTGCTTCTCTTTGCGAGTATGAAATGCGAACAAAAATGAAACTAAAAGATGCTCGTGAGAAGCAACTATCCTTTCGTTGACCAGAAGCGTCACCACAGGGAGGGTCCACTGGAACAGCTGCTCTAGAGTTACATAGGTGATCTTGGGAATCGTGACTTCACCAGATACCCTCCCTTGCTGTGGATGCTGGCCGAGGTTTGGTCTTCATCCCTCTGAGATCACAGGGCTTCCCATCTCTCGGCATCTTTAGTCTGTATCTAACGCATGTCCAGGTTGAGTGTTCCAAAAGCTTAGCTCTGAGCCTTCCACGTAAGTCTAGGCAAGGGTAAGAAAATAAACCAAATAAGTAAATAGCCAAACACCCTTTCTTGAGTCAATTAATTAGTATAAGATTCATAGAAAATGCCAGTTGAACACATATTATCATTCAACATAATCTGCTGTAACTCTCTGTGCGTTGGGGGACGTCTTTCACGTGTGCCTTTAGTCCGTGGGCAGGCCCAGCGTACTCACAAACTGATTATTTCTCCAATGATGAAATATGACCCATGTGCTGTCAGAAAGTGATTTAAAGACAGAACCTCCGGATGGTCGATCAGAAATAAAGCTTGTGATGCCAGTTTACATCTCTGATACCCGATCTTTGTCCAGAATACAACTGCGATCAACATTTGATGTCCATCTTCAACGACACCTGTAAAGCAGGTGGTGGGGCCAGTGTGATACTCTGCTCGTCCCTTCAACCCCTCCCCGTGACTGGTCGGGGGCACAGGACTGTCCTGTAATAGGACTCTCCACCCGCCGATAGCGCAAGCTAGGTCTGAGGAGTCACGTATTTTCCTTCTTTGCCAGAAACTTTCATTTGTGAAAATAGTTAAAATTGTATAGTATGTTTTTGTTGTTTGAGTATTGGTTTGTGGAAACGCAGAAGTCAGCTCTAAGCCAGAATCTTCATTTCTGTAAAAGTAAGAATGTAAAATCGAACCCCAGCGAGAAGCCAGTGGTGAAACATATGCACTCGCTTTCTGGACTTGTGACAGTGGGGGCTGTGCCTGGGACCCTGAAGGGTGGGCGACTGTGGGTGTTTACGGGGGAAGGCTGAGTCCAGACAGCCTCGCAACTGAGCAAGAGGAGGAGAGGCTGGCAGACCCTTTCTCAGCAAGAAGTGACCGAATCATTATGTATTTTTTGGAGGTTTAATCACCTGGGATTTGTCACTGGGGCCCATGGCTGCCTAGGTACAGCAAGGGGACTGGTGTGTAATACCGGGATGATGTGAGAGGTTAATTATGACATGAAACTTGTTCCAAATCGGAGCACACTAAAATTACAATAAATACACCTAAAACTCAAAAAAAACCAAAAAACAAAAAAAGGAGAGACAGAAGAGATTACTTCATAGTAATTGACTTTATCAAGAATAGTCTAAAGAAGCACAAAGTCTTTGAGATCCCTGAAAATTGCCGAATTCCTTATTCTGGCTAATCTGTTCATTTCTGAGGTCTCACTTCTGACTGCATTGTGATTTTCTTTAAAAAGGCAGGGGGAAGCCCTGACTTTTGAAATGGATCTCGGAAGGCCCTAAGACCATGGGTTAGCGTTGGCCTGTGCTCCCGAGTTCATGCGCTCCCGTGCTCCGCTGGGCAAAGCCCGGCCATCCGGCAGCCTGGCCAGGTGCTCCCAAGCAATTAGGTGCTGATGACTGAGTCTTTATCTCCTTTCCAGGTGGGAAGGAAAGAATGAAAACGAAGTGGGCAGATGTAAGGAGACTGGCAAAATTCACGTGACTGTGGATCTCAAGTACTACCGGCCCACCGAAGTGGTAAGACTCTTGGCGCACCACCTGCGTCTTCACTGGCCACTTTTGGGAGATCGTCCCTGGGCGCCGTGGCCAGGCTGCCCAGACCCACACTGGGTGGTCTGTGGCTTTCAGCGTCTTACCCAAACCAGAGCTCTGGGAGGCTAATTTGGGGTGCCATTCTTGGCACAAGACACACTGCTGTATAAAGGAGAGCAGGGGTAGCTCATACCCGGGGAAGTTTGGTTTCAGAAATGGAGACTTGGATCAAAGACAGACCCGTTGAGGTTAGGCCTGCTTGATGGCTGAGTCCTAGAACCTGCAGGATGTCTGCCTTCCCAGGGCCCCGTGACCTGCAGGGTCTGGAGGTCACAGTGCACATGCACCTGCACACGTTCACACACACACTCACATGTACTCTCTCACACACTCATATATGCACACACACTCATGTGTATGCTCACACACACTCAGATATTCACACACACACTCACATGTACTCTCACACACACTCATATATGTACACACACTCATGTGCACTCACACACACTCATATATTCACACAGACTCACATGCTCTCACACACACTCATATATGCACACACATTCACGTGTATGCTCACATACACTCATACATTCACACACACTCACGTGTACTCACACACATATGCACACACTCAGGTGCTCGCACACACCCTCATATATGCACACACACTCATATATGCACACACATGCACACACTCACATATGCATGCACTCATGTGCCCTCACATACACACAGCCAATGTACTCAGAGTCACATACACATGTACTCACACACTCACATGAACACATGCACACAGCCACATGTATTCATGCTGAAACATACACACACACACTCAGGGCACTCATATACACGTACACACACTCACATACACACACACCTGAGCTGTGTGAGCCTGCACACTTTCTGAGCCTCAGCTCAAGTATGGTCCTGGGTGTGAAGCCTTTTCTGGCCAGTGTACTAACCACCACTGAACTTCCAACTTTTTCTCTTGGATCTACATCATACACTATACATACCATATTATAACATGTATAATAACTTAATATACTCATTTCTGTACATGTTTTTCTCCAAACTGTGAACTCTTTGAGGAGGACTCTCTTACTGTCTCAGACGATAACATACTCGGCATAATGAGCACTGGTTGGTGGGTGGATGGGTGGCTAATGCATGGATTTCTAAATGCAGAGGTTCCTGTATGGAGAAATAACCTAGAGGCGTCCAAGCGCCGCATCCCCCTTTCCTCCCTTTTAAGAGCTCCTGACTTGGTGTTGTCACTTAAACTCGGGCCACCTTCACTCTGGTGACGAAGCTCAGTGTTTTAAAGGGATGGACCTAGGGGTGATAGAAAGCAGCCTCTTGAGAGAGAAGTGTTCAAATGTGGTGGTTCCCGAACGAAATGTGTGTTAACTGTGAACATGTTACCCTGGAACCTGCTCGACCTGTGTTTTGAATCAAATTCCTGTCTGCCGTGCCACCTTTCTGAGGTCAGGAAAGCCCCGCAAAGGAAAATTGAAAGTGAACGTGTCACCGGTAATCACCGTCAGACGGTCTTGTTTCAGACAAAGGAGAGGCGTCGTTTCACGCTCCCGTCCGCACGGGTGGGATAGCAAGGAGAGGAAGTGTGCAGGGCTGTCCGGCCAGGCAGGGCGGTCTCTGACACCCGGCGAACAATGGCGCGCTGTGCCGCCGGGGTGGGTGTGCCGGCAGAGGATGTGCAGGCCGGGAGGGGTCCAGGGCAGTCCTGCTGACGCGGCAGGAGCACTGCCCTGGAGCCCACACCCGCCGCCCGCCAGGGCCCAGAGGCGCCGCAGGCTGTCATATTTCTGGAACCTAAGTGGGCAGCCTTGTGTCCGAGCGTGTGACAAGAGTGGGAATGGACGGGGCCAGCCCTCCACCTCTGTGACCCCGTCACCCCGGGCCTTCCTTCCGAAGCCAGGAGGCCATTACCAGCAGCTTGTCTGTCACCCTCACCTGGGGACCCTGGGGGTTGGTGGGGATGCGGCATGAGAGAGCAGAGGAGCCTGGGGCTCACGAGTCGGTTTCCGAAGCCCCCATGGGCCGTCTTTCCTGCCGAGGTGCCGCGTCGGTCTGTCCTTCTGTTCCCGCGGATGCTGTGGTGGTACCTGCTCTGCAGGTCCGTCCTCAGACGGCATCTGAGCCTGAGGGCACCGCCTGGCTCCCTGGGCTCCTCTCGCCCGTCTGTCCCCCCCGGCCTCTTTACTGCTGTGGCAGCTTGCCCTCCCCGCCCCGCTCAGGGCTCCGTGGGGCATGTGCAGTGAGGCTCAACTTTTCACCTCATTCCTCAGCACAGCAGCTTTCCCAGAACTGAGCGGTCTGACAGGCTGAGGCAGAGCTGCCCGGGGTGCTGTTCCTCCAGGTGAAAGGGGCCCAGACCCAGAGCCGCCGGCGCGTGCTCGCACTTGGGTCCGGGCCCTGAGCAGCAGCGGGGGGAGTCGCGGGGGCGAGGCCTGAGGAGCTCTGGGAGTGGGGGCCACGGAGCCCCTGGGGCCGCGATCTGCCCTCATCTGCAGTCAGGACCCTCTTCCAGGGCCACCGGCTCCGCCCCACCCCGCCCCCGGGTTCTGGGAAAGCTCCTTCCCCGGCCACTGTTGTCCTGTGTGTTCAGCACCTCACGCACCCCGGAGCCAACCACAGAACTAGATCATCTGAGGGTCCGGTGCTTCCAGAGCGATTGCCAGGGGAACATGCCAGACAGAGAGCTCAGAGGCAGGCTGTAAGGACATGGCGGGCCCCAGAGCACCGGTGTCCGAAAGCACGACTAGCGGGAGGTGCAGGTTTGTGTTGTTTTGTGAATGAGATTCAGACCAAGGAAGGCTGTTTACCTAGCAGAGGCCGGCAAGAGCCCCAGGGAGCCCAACAGCCGTTCTGTGTGGAGAGAACTCCCGGCTGAGGACCCTCCCCCCGTCGGGCTCACCATGGCGGGCTCCGTGGTCCTGCTCCGGCTCCACGTAGAAGTCCTGAAAGTGTGTGTCTGAGCCAGGGCGCTGGCGTCTACCTGGAGCTGAGCGGAGGCCTGTTCTGGGTCTCTCGGTGGATGCCTCTGGGCTTCACCTGAATGTTTAGTTGTTCGGCTCGGGTGGAGAACTTGCTTCTGTAAACTGGGCTTCACATTTCCCAGCGTTAGTGTGAAGACTGGGCCCCCTCCTCTGCGTGTCTCCCTGGGTGCACGCTCTGTGGAGCCCTGGTGACGGGTGTCCGAGCCGGGAGGAAGCAGGGCTGTGCTGGAGGCCAGGCGGCCTGAGTTCAGAGACTGTCCATCACAGACGGGCGACCTCAAACCTGTTACTCCTCAGGGCCTCTGTCTGCCTGTCTTTAAAAATGGGGTGAACTGTTGAACTTCTTTCAGAGAATTGTTGTAGAAGTAATAATCGGTTCTACAAACTGCTCATTAGAACAGTGACACGCAGTAAAACACCCAGCATTGATGCCATTATTGTTAGTTATTCATTCTTTCAGCAAATATTTGCCAAACCCTGTGTTAGACCCTAAGAACCGAGCACGGACGACACACACACCCTGTCCCCGCGGGGAGTGTAGGTGGGAAGAACAGGTCAGTTACTCAAGTCGACTGCCTTTCGAAAGACAGACTGACATCGCTGGTGAATTGTGCGTATTAACTGCTAACAAGTCAGTGATGTGATAAAATCAAGGCTTCTAGCAAACATTTTACTATGTACTTTGATTTCTTTATTCTTGTTTTATCTTGATTTTTATCCTTTCTGACCCTGCTGAAAATTCAATAGCGATTCAGGGTATGGAATTATCATGTAAATATGAGAAAATTAACATAGATTTATTACGTAATTTAAAATAATAACAAAGACATTTTCTTTTTGTCTGAAAAAAAATTTTTTTTTGGAAAATTTTTAACTTGGGAAATTCACAAAGATTGGATTAAGAAGTATTCATCCCAGCGTGGCAGTTGTTAATCACACCGAATGGTCAATTCACTTAAAAAAAGAAAAGCTAAGATTTTCTTTTTTTCAGTGAAACAAACAAACCAAAAAATGCCTTTTTTTCCTGCAGAACACTTTAAGAAATGTCACGGGAAACGCATTCACAGACCAAATTTGAAAGCACTGATTTTTCATGAAAAATTATGTTTAAACTCCACTGATGATGGAGCCGAGTTTTCCTTCCTGCCCTGTTTGTCTCTAACGTGGACTTTTCTTGATGTGGTATTTCCAACATCCTCCCCTGTGACTGGCTTTTGTTTTCTTTATCTAGATACATTATGTTTATTCCCATTCTTTATAGATATTAGAAAAAAGCCCTGAGTTAAAATCTAGATCTGGGAAAGCAGTAACTTCAAAGAAGGCAAAGCCGGTTAAAACCACACCTTCCTTCAGCAGAAACATGTGGGCTGTTTCTAATCAAATTACCACACGCTTGTCGAGTTGTCCCCTCTGCAAACTTTTCCTAATATTTTTCTGTAAATGATGTTAAGTTAAATGGCCCATAATTGCTTGTTCTATCTCGTAGCCCTGTTTAGAATAATGCAGGGTAACACTTTCCAGACCTCAGGAATCTGATCTGTCATCAGAGGACTTGTACAAATACCAGTTAGACCTTCGCCCAGCACCACCCTGGTCCACGGCGGGGGTCTTGAAAAGGCCCCTCTTCCCCGTGGCTGTGCTCCCCACCCCGGCAGGAAGCCAGACCGTCCATTCCCTGTGGCTCCGTCTTCCCCAGCCCCCCTGGAGGCCCCCTATCGCTCAGTCCTGGTCCTCTGACCCCCAGGGCCCTCGTCCCCCAGTGCCGCCCTCCTGCCCTTTGTGGGGGAAAAGGAAGCTGGCCAGGCAGACGAAGGGCGAGCCCCCTCTCTGCCGGGACCAGGAGAGGAGTGGCTGGGCTCCCGGCTCAGCGTCCCTGCAGGCCCCACGTCTGCCCTCTCATCACCGGTGGGCGCAGTAGCGTGGATGCTGTCAGCAGAGCCTCACTTCGGACAGAGCTTC